TGAGAGGTAATACAGAAGCCTAATATTGTTCATTACTTTTCAATTTAGCCTCAGGTAAATTCTTAGGATAAAGGTAGAAAGCAGCCACAGTTTTTTTTGTTTGTTTGTTTGGTTGGTTGGTTGGTTGGTTGGTTGGTTGGTTGGTTGGTTGGTTGGTTTTTTTTTGCCAAAATATCACAAGAATGATCTTTAGACCACTTGTTAATATTTTTTTCCTCTGAACTCTCTGAGACACATCTCCATAGTCCATATAATTTTCAACATTACTGTACCTCCAAGCTCCTAGTAGGATAGCCACTGAGAACAATGGGAAATGTTCCATAAAAGAATAAAAAGAATGCATCTTAGCTCTTAGCCACACTGATGAGACAATGGCTATCCAGGCTAGGAGAAAAGAAAATGGAAGCCCTGCTTCATCATTCAACCACTTCCTAGTCTTAATTCCTAAATTTTTCCCCATTTCTCCAAAAAAAACAGCATTGCCAGATATGTCACAGCAATGTCCCACTACCTGGTAGGAACCTCTGTCTTAGTTTTCATTCACTGCGACCAAACACTGTGTGAATAAAGCAACTTAGAAAGTGTTTAATTGGGCTGACAGTTTCAAAGCATTAGAGTCTATGATGATGGAACAAAGGCAGCAAGAGCAAGTAAGAGTTTCCATATTGATCTCTAGGTAAAAGAGCAAAGAGAGAGAGAGGACACTCACTGGAAATGCTAGCTATCTTTTGAAACCCAAAGCCCATGCCTTTGTTTTGCAAATGATAAACATCCTCCAACCTCATCCTTCTGGAAATTTTCCCTCAAGTGTGGACCAATAATTCAGACATATGAATTTATGCGGGCCATTCTCATTCAAAACAAAATGGACTAATATATGCATAGTAAATTAATAAAATTTAAAAGATTCATTTATTGAATATATTTTCAATAAATATGCCAAGATCAAATAAGCATGGGGATCTCAAATACCCTACCATTCTGGGAAGACCAAAATGCATTTCACACTGAAGAGCTCTGAGATATTCAATAGAACAATATTTTTCTTTAATCATAAGCTTATTTAATGTTGGAAGCTTTTATCATGTAATATTTACAAATATCCCTCATTGCTATTGTAAAGGATCTAATTTGAGAAAAGCAGATCCTCTCAAGAATGAAAGTGGCCACTAAGAACAAGGCAAAAGGTTCCATGAAGGAGACAGAAGCTAGGATTTAGTCTAGAAGGAAAGGATGCATATTAATCTCGTTGCCAGGACAATGAGTATCCAGGCAAGAAGAACAGAAAATGAGTCAGGCTAGTTCAGACATTGCTTTCTCTTCAAGAGAAAAGAGAGAGGGTCAGTTGCACTGTCCTTTAAAACATTCACATTTGTTAATTTGTTAAGCAAATACATTTGAATAAAAGAATCAATAATACATTAAGAGAGCCCAGGTACTCACTAGATCATGAAGAATGTCTTGAACATGAACCATACAGTTGCACAAAAATAGTTCTTATTTTTCTTACTGTATTTTTAAAAATTCGACTTCGTAGTGGTACAATTTTGTCAGATAAATTTTGTCAGATTTAATTGCTTATTTTTCTTTTGCCCTAATACTTAATTTTCAGTGTTTCCAGTATTAGAAATATATGTGTATACATATATAGATATGCATATGTACATATATGCATTTAATATTGGTAATTATATATGGAATATATATATATATATATTTATATATATGGGATTTATTAGAATAGGTTTCAGGCTGTGACCCAGATAGCCCAACAATGATTGTCTCCCAGCTGAAAGTCTAAGAATCCAGGTGTTCAGTCCACCCCGCTGTACACCTCAGCTGGTCTTCAGCTTACACTGAAATTCTGAAGAAGTCAGCTTTAATGCCAGTGAAGTTATGCCTTAGCTACAGGATGGATGAAATTGCCAGTGAGAAAGAAGACAAGCAGGCTAAAACCAAATGCTTCATCATTCAGTGGCCTTTATATAGGCCGCCACAAAAAACGAGTGGCTCAGATTAGGGCGGGTCTTCCCACATAAGATGATTGACAATTAAGTGGGTCTTCCTTCCTCAAGTGATTTAATTATATAAAAGTCCCTCAAAGGTGTGCCCAACTGCTTGGGTGTTTTGTTAATTCCAGGTATAGTCAAGCTGGTAACCAAGAATAGCCATCATGCAATCTAAGCAAATTATGTCCACCTTTTGACACTGGGGATTAGACCTGAGCTTTGCAGAGGTCATGTAAATTAGTCTGTGTGTCATTATATGTTTGGCCTCTTTTGCTCAACATAATGTTTTGTTGATTCATCTATTTTTGCACTTATCACTATTTCATTCCGTGTTTTCATGAAGGGGTATTTATTAAGTCCTAACTAGCCTAGAGCAGTATGCTTGGATCACAGTCCACCTTCACATTTAACCTTATAAAAACACAGTTCTAGGTGTCGCCTCGAACTGCCCATAAAAATTGTATTGCAGGTGTTTATTTGTTGTGTGGATGTGGGTGCAAACATCGTGTTTTGCGTGTACAAGCTACTGCATATGTGTGGAGGTCAGGGAATTGCCTATAGGAGCCGGTTCTCTCACTCCAGCACATGGGGCTCAGGGATGGAAGTTGGGGAATCATGCTTGGCAGCAAGTGCTTTGACTCTTTGAGCCATCTCTGCAGCATATAGAAGCGAACCATTTTTGTTTCCATTTAGTGTATGAGGATTATAGGTATATTGTCATCTTGCTAAGCCTTGAAAATATGTCAGTAAAGATGTGATATGGATTTTCTTTGTCTTTGCTAACTTGAACTAATATTCTGTGACAGTATATTTATAGTATTATCTGGGTAACTTCTGGATCCTGAAGGAGTTGAGAGGCACCACACTTCAACATTTTTTTAACATTGGGATTTTTTGGGGGGGTTGATATGATTTACCAACAAAGACATTATATTCTAACAATTTATTGAGGAAAAAAAATTGAATTTGGTAACAACTTTGGAAGCTGAAATGGAGTTTGAAAATTTCCCATGGCTTCTTAAATCAGTTTCGGTACATTTTATTTGATTGTTTGTTGGGAGGTTTTTGCTTGTTTCGTATAAACTTGTCAGGCATGTGTGTATAAATTGTTTGTCATTTTCTATTTTTTTTTGATCGTGCTTTAACTTCAACCAGCTTAATTAGAGTGCTAAGAAGTTACTCATCTTTTGAAAAAGATACTTCATTGTTTGTTATGTGTGTTTTTTAAAAATTTCATTATCAGCGCTATTTTTCTACGTATTTTGGGTCGACCTTCTTTAGTTTTTGAAATTTCTAAATTTTAGTGTTGACTTTGATATAAATACTTAAAGCTCCCAGATTCTCGATACACTGCCTCAGTTTTCTCCTGTTCATTTCAATGATATTTTGAATTATTTAAAAATATTTGTCTTGGGCTGGGAATGGCACAGTGGGGAAGTGCTTCCTGATTAAACATGACGGCCTGAGTTTGGATGCCTAAAACCCATGGAACCATGCTAGAAGTGGAACAGACTAGTAGAAAAAACTCCATGGTAGTGATTTCATATCCATGGCTGTTCTATTTTAACTCAGGTCATCGTCTGTCATTTTCAGTGTCCTGTGTGCACTGCGAAGTGTGAGTGCTACCGAAGAAGTGACAAACGTTAGTCAGTTGGTGCAACATCATAATTAAGTTTTGCCTCCATAATTCTTAGTATCTTATCACCATGTCTCAATTTACTTTATTATTTTGGGTGCTGAGGACAAACTGTGAATACTTATGAAACTCTAGATGTATGCTGTGGAGGCCATCTGTCACTGAATGGCACCCCAAGCTCAACTCTGTGACTTTGTCTTATAAATTGCAGTCATAGGAATATCCAAGTCTCCAACTATTCCTATGAATTTCTTTGCTTCACCTACACACACACACACACACACACACACACACACATATATATATATTTAAAAAATGGATACATTCTTTAAAAAGCCAACTTGGCAGTCCCATAGTAGAAACATGTAGTCTGAACAGCCCTGTGTCTAATGAAGGAACTGTATCAATATTCATTGTTTTTCAAAACATAACTCCCCAAGGCAAATTCAACTAAATACTTAAAGAACTTAGAACAAGTTCTTGTGTTTTTCAGATAGTATAAGCATACACAGTACCCTTGAACGTGTGAAGTTGGCATTATTCCCTTCTAAAGCCAAGAAAAGAAATTACTAGACATGAAAACTACAGAATAAATGAACATTCCTCAAATTCAAAAGTCCTTAAGAAATATAAGTAAATGTCACTGGACAGTTTCTAAAAATAATAGTCTGGGACCAGTAATTGTTCTTAAACAACCAAGGATGTTAAAACATTTGAAAGTCAATTAGTAGAAAGTGTTGTGGTACATGGCTGTAACCCTGGCATTCTGAAGTGAGATTTGGGGGGTCAAGTTGGGTTCAGGGCCAGCCTGGGTTGCATACAAAGGGACTGTTTCTTAAAGGAAGAAAAGAAGAAATCCTCATCCCCACCAGCTGGAGTTGGGATCCTCCCTGTCTTTCCATTTGCCTTTTTCTGACACAATGGGTCATGACCAGATGTCAGAGGGAATCTAAAGAAAGAAAGAGTTGATCTAACAATGGTCTTAGCATTTAAAGGCATAGAACAGTGGGTAGAGAAATAGATACAGAACAGAGTCATCCAAAAGAAAATTTGTTGGTTCCCCTGTATATTGGAGGGGATATGACCTTGGAAACAGATATTAAGCTAAGTCCTTTGTGACCTTGTTCTCTATAGTTGTTTTGTTCAGAGTTGGGGTTCAGATCACAAAGCAGAAATGCATTGGTTAAATATTTTCCACGGGAAAGTGGGAAAGACTATTCTGGAATCCTTGACCATCTTTAAGTGGGAAATGGAGACTCTAATCTCTTACTAGACTTTTCTTTGTCCAGCCTTCCACTCTGCGCATCTTTCTAAACTGAATGAATTGCAAACTATCACCGCTTCATTGCTTTCAGAGACAGACCCCTGTGCCGGTGGGAATGGATGTGAGCACCTATGTCAGAGTGAGAATGGCATGGCCAGGTGTGCCTGCCACGCTGGGTATCAGCTGTCTGAAGACAAAAAGACCTGCGAAGGTAGGAAGCTGAAGCTGATGTCTTAATTGGGTAATTGTTTGAAATTCTATCGTAGTCAGATTGAACAGTTGGAGCAGGTAGGAGAAAAGGTATTTTTATTTATGCTAAAAAGAAACGCTTTAATTCTTGACTTGATCACTATGAAAATTATTTTATAATGCTACGAAAAATCTCGGTGAAATTCTTATGTATTGTAAAAAATGGCCTACTGTGCTTTCAGAAGTCATGCTTTTTGTTTTCTTTTTTTAAAAAATGAAATCTAGAATTAATATTTAAAATCTCTCCATAACCACATAGGGAGTTTTTGATTATAGACTACAGAGGTGGGGTAACCTTTGAAAAGCAAGCATGTGCAAATTAGGCTCTCAGAACTTAGGAATAATTAAAATGAGAAGAGAAAAAAAAAACCCTGTAAACACAAGGTTACACATTTCTGTTTCCAGAAATAGCAAAGCAGACACACTTCAGTTCAAAGATGAAAGGGCTAAATTATTTCATGACTGGCACCAATGGAGGATGAAGGAATTCCTGTGGGACAGTCTTTGTTTTAATAACTTCTGAGAAACCACAGAAACCTTCCTTTTTGTAATAACATTTTCAGAAAATGAGAAACAGTTTATTTGGGTTAATTATGAAAACAACAAAAAGTTCCTTGACTTATAGGACTGATAAACATTTTGAGAAATTGAAAAAAAAAAAACAACTAGACACAAAAATCACTGTGAAATTTTGGGAAAAAAAAAACAAAAAAACAAACAGGGGCTGGTGAATTGGCTCGACTGGTACAAGCACTTAAAGCCAAGCCTCAAAACCCGAGTTCAAAGCCCCCAAATCTGTATGACAGAAGAAGAGAACCAAATGCTACTTTCTGTCCTCTGACCTACACTTGTATACCTCATTACCCTGTGCACACATACACACACACACACACATACACACACACACACACTCACACAAAATAAATAGGTTGAAATAAAAAGCATTTATGGAGTTTAAACATATTATTTTGGCAAAGATACTTTGATTTTATTTCTTTATTTGATTATTGTTTTATTATTTTATATATATCTACGGGTATTTTGCCTACATGTATGTTTGTGTACCATGTACATGCAGTACCCAAAGAGGCCTGAAAAGGGCATCATATCCCCCGGAACTGCAATGACAGTGGATGTAAGCTGCCATATGGGTACTGGGAATTGAACCTGGGTCCTCCAGAAACACCAATAGTGCTCTCAATTGCTGAGCCATCTCCCCAGTCCCTGGTTTGGATTTCTTTTCTGTTTGTTTGTTTATGTGTTTGTTTGTCTTCAATATATCCCTCTCCCTCCACTTCTCCCAGAGAAGTGTTAACACTTCTCCCACCCCACCTCCCTCTCTCCTAGATCCACTCTCAGTTTCCCTTCAAAAAAGAGCAGGCCTTCAGGTAACACCAACTGAACATGGCATAACAAGATAGAGTGTAGCACACACCACTCTCAGCAAGTGGCAGACGGGACAGCAGAGGATCTTAAGGTCTAACTCTTAAGAATTGACAAACATGCACACCTGTAATCCCAGCACTCGGGGAGGCAGAGGCAGGAGGATCTCTAGGAGGTTGAAGCCAGCCTGGCCTACAAAACAAGTACAGGACAGCCAAGGCTACACAGAGAAACCCCGTCTTGAAAAACCAAAGAGGGAAAGAAGAAAGAACTGACAAACAAGATTCATAGAAACTATGTAACTTTCATCTTTTTTCAGACTCCTATTTTAACACCCATATACATCCCAGAAATCTCTCCCAAACACCACTGCATATATGAGGGCTATACTAATACATGCAAATGGGGATGGCATGCAGGTGTGTTCAAACATGTACTTAGTCAGAGCAGAGGAGACAGGACCCTTCTGCTAAAAGGAAGAAGAGTTTGCCTAGACACAAAACTGAAGTCACATTGAATTAAAGTGGCTGTTACTTTCAGAAGGGAGAAAGAACACAAGCATCATAGGGAAGGTCTTGTAACAGTTGTAACAGATAAAGATGTATACGGAAGAAGCGTGCATTGCTTGAAAGGCCCCATATCTGACTTGCTCCATCTTCTCCTTTAAAACAAGGAGTTGCAACAGGTTATATTTGGGAATATATATGTATATGCTAATACATATATGCATGCAATTACAATTGATAAAGAAAGGCCATGAATTTGAAGAAGAGGGAGGAGGGGTATATGAGAGGCTTTGAGGGGAAAGGAGGGGAGAAAAATGTTGTAAGTAACAAATAATCTCAGAAGCAAACAAAAATACCAGAGAGTTGAGATCTCTGTTCAGTAATATGAAATATTCATATCATCAAACTACAATACCTTCTATTTGTACTGTGAGGAATAAATAGATTAGAACTCCTACTTATGGTTGCAGTCAATCTTGTTTTCAATTCATAACAGTTGGTTCCAATATATATGAAGTAATACTAGTGGGCATCAGACCAACACAAGATAAATAGTCATAGCAGCTGGTCCACTCGCAAATCCCGCCTCCTCATGAAGAGTACGGAGTCTGCGATATTTAGTATTATATTGAAAATTGAAGGTTAAGTAGGGGGTAACAGTTTATCCATTCTTATATCTTACAAATAGAATTGCGGATGCTAAGACAGCTGGTGTGTGTCTCTCCTTGCAGACGTAGATGAGTGTGCCGCAGAGCCTGCTCCCTGTGCTCATCGCTGTGTCAACTCAAAGGGGTCCTTTACCTGTACCTGCCACGCTGGCTTTGAGCCAGGAGCTAACAGAAAGCATTGTTACAGTAAGTAGCACCCATGGTAATCTTGGAAGTCAGTGATGTTTCCACAGGTATTGTGCAAGACCAATAAGTGGAATAACACTAAGAATCTTGGCTAAGCAGAAGTTTCTGAGAGTGTGGCCCGGTGGGACAGAATGAGGATGGGGACAGAGAAGTGTAACCCGCTTCGCTCTATTGTTGAGGAAACTGACAAATAAAGAGTTTGTGTAATGCTTCACAGGACATTCAATGAGGATTAAATCTCAGGTCTTTTGATTTGAAACTCTTGGTTTCATGGCCCAGGTACTTTGTGAACTTCTGCTTCTTGTATCACCCCTGCTAAACGCTTAAGATTCTGCTGTAATGCCCAAAGAAGAGAAGCCCGTGTGGGTGAAGAAAACTTGAGAGGAAAGAACAGCTGTAGGCTATAATTGCATTTCCAACACATCAGATGCTCCAATGTGTGTCTTCAGTACTAGCTTCTTTTGTCTTTGACATTCATCACACATCTTCAAACGGTTCCTCCTATTTCACATGCTCACGATTGAACTCATTCCTCTTACTTTCCTTGCCAAGCATTTCCTTGCCAAGTCATGTCTCCCAGCTGAACTGTCTCAGCTCAGTTGCATGGCTTAATGTGTCCATTGTTAGAGATGTGTTTAAAATACTAGGCTACAGAGTTATCTGTTGCAGCTGATATGGTAGATGCATTCCTATTCAACCCCAAAACCTGCAAACACACTGTCTACTTCCCTAAGCTCAGAGTTGACTCATTCCAACCCACCAGTATCTTGATCCTCCCCACATCTTCCTCCATGATGCTTTACCAAATATCAGTATGGTTAACTTTCTCTTACAAATTTATTTATCACCTCTTCCTACTTTTTTTTTCTATCTTGACTTTTATAGCATCAAAAACTTGATGCAAACTACTTTGCAAGCTAACAAATTTCCCCAAATCTGCCATAGAATTACAAGAGAAAATATCAACCCCTATTGGAACAAGGAAGTTGGTCCTATAGCTTCAGAGTCATTTCTTCCCCCCGTGTTTGGGGGTTATTATCTCTTAAGGGATATCAATCAAGAGGCTGGCTTTCATAATAATCCCCTTTTTGTCTGAATCATCATTATTTCTTTGAAATTACCATTACCAACATTTCCTAACCTAAAGTCACTCTCAAGTGAGCTCATATCTCTAGAATTTTCATAGCAAAAAAACTAAAATGTTAGCTAAAATAGTTTTTCTCTCTTTCTCACCTTGTATTTTTCTCATTAGCTCGTGTCAACAAGCATCCATCTCTGTTGCTCAATGGACTCTTTCATCTCTGTTATTCCATGTTTTTAGAAAAAATTAAACCCTCTCAAGCATTATCAGGTTTTCAGTGTCTTTTCAGCACTTGGTTACTGTGTTGGATAATTTCGGTCAACTCGACGTAAGTCAGGGTATCTGGGGAGAGGGAACTTCAACTGAGAAAATGACTTTATCAGATGAGCCCATAGGCATGGCTATTTTCTTCATTAATGACTGGTGTGGAAGGGTCAAGCCATGGGAGCTTGCAAGCAGGCTGAGCAAGGCATGGAGGATAAGCCAGTGAGATGTGTTCTTTCATGGCCTCTGCTTCAGTTTCTGCCTCCAGGTTCTTTCCCTGCTTGAGTTGCTGACTTAGGTTCACTCAATGATAGGTTATGATGAAGGGGATATGTAGGCCAAAATAACCCTTTCTTTCCCAAATTGTTTTTTTTTCTTTGTTGGCCATGCTTTTTATAACAGCAAGAGGAACCAAACTAAAACAATTATTTGCATCGTTTCTGAAATGCCCTCTTTGATTCTGTCCTCTTGTGTTGTCCTAGTTTCTCCTTTTCATCTCTGCTCTATCTCAATAACAAATTTGTGTTTCTAGGTTCTCTACTTCTAATGACATTTCTTAACTGTGTACTCAGTGTCCCTACTTACATCAATGACAGCTACTGCAAAGATGATCTTTTTACTCCTTCACACTCAACTGCTAAGGCCAAAACCCTCATAATAAATTCACCAAGTCTTGGGGCTGGAACTTAGATGTCATCTCAATTCTGCATAACCAAGCCCTTTGCCTTCAACTGCTGTTTCCATGCACTGCGTGTACTTTCATTGGTGTTAGACAAAGAACACAGAGAGAATGATAGACATATGTGCATGCTACCATTCTCTCTGGCCTTTCCTCAGGAAGAAACACCAGTAAAAGTCAGGGAATTCATCTCCTCTGCATAAAACTCTGTTGCCTGCCTTGCCGGAGTATCTTTCAAGTTCACCTATGCCTTCCCACGGTGTATATAGTGCAGTTTCTTCACAGTGATGTTTGCCTTTTAAAAAGAAAAGTAAATAAGATGGGAGGGAAACTGACTAGTAATTAAGAAAGGACTTCTGAAGTTGGGTCCTTTTGAATGCCTGCTAGAATCTTCTTTCAGGAAGAGAAAATGTGGTTAGAGTTTTTTCTTATTAATATTTGGTTTTTGAATATAGTCAGAGTTCTAGGGGATGAGCATATTTGAAAATGTGCAAATGAATCTTGCAATCTGACTAGCACATTCATTGCCACCATGAAAGAAGGGATCATTATTAATAGTGGTTTATGAGTTAGAGACTTTCTTTAGAATTTACTCAGGAAAGCAATTTGCCCTAGAGTGGAATGTATTAGGTGGAACTGCGCTTTTACATTTACTTTCCTGATGGGAATATTTAACTAAGTTCTCTCTACGGTCATCCCCAGACTTCAGTATTTACTACTGACATACAAACCTTTAAGTGAAAAATTGTGTTCTGAGGTTTCTTCAAACCTCAGAGGAAATCTTTTCAGAGCATGGAGATATTTAACTGTGAATATAGCACCTATATGTAATGAGTGTGTTTTAGGGCACTTGTTTCACCTTTGTCCTAGAAAAGGCTTTATGATTATTTCATTTCTTTAGAGAAATACTGTACACCTGCTCAGTTTTCACAGTGTGCTGTGAATCCACACTCACTGCCTTGTAACTTGAATATGGAAAGTTACACACATTTCACAATTAGAAGAGACTTTCATCAAAAGAAATCTCAACATCATGCTATTAGATACATACATTTGTATATTATATCTATCAAGCAAATGACATATTTGTCACCTTTGAGAAGAAACAGATTATTTTCTGAGTCTGACTTTAAAAACTATGTTATGTATGTGGGTATATGTTGTGTGTGTGTGTGTGTGTGCCAGCCACAGCAATTTTGTGGAGATCAGAGTACAACTTCCAGGAGTCTATTTTTCCTTCTGACACACAGATGTTGGGAATCAGCTGAGTTTGTCAGGCTGGGCGGAATCTCCTGTTCCCTGAGTTATATCCATGGCCCCTGCTTTGTTTTTATATAGTACGAAGGTAGCTCATTGCTAATCGTCCATATCAAGAACTCAAAACATCAGCTTACTTTCAGTGCCCAGTTGTAAAACTCGGGTTGTAATTATATATTTATTTATTTCAGTTTGTCTTGGTGCTTTGGAGACATTTTAGCCCTGGCTAGCCTCAAACTTGGTATATATCCTAGGCTGGCCTGGAGTTCATGGACAGTCCTTGTGCTCTGCCTCCCAAGTGCTGCAGTTTTAGGTGTTCACCGCCACACGGCTCGGACCTGTTTCATCATATATATACATATATATATATGTATATATATATATATGTATATATATATATACATATATATATATGTATATATATATATACATTTTTTTAAATTTTTTAAATGTATATATACATTTAAATTTTTTAAATTTTTTAAATGTATATATATATACATTTTTTTAAATTTTTTGTCAATCTTTTTTCTTTTTATTAATTACAGTTTATTCACTTTCTATCCCAGCTGTAGCCCTGTCTCTCATCCTTTCCAATCCCACCCTCCCTCTGTCTTTTTCTCCTATGCCCCTCCCCCAGTCCAATGATAGGGTAGGTCCTCCTCCCCTTCCAGCTGATCCTAGTCTATCAGGTCTCATCAGGACTGGCTTCTTTGTCTTCCTCTGTGGACTGGTAAGGCTGCTCCTCCCTCATGGAGAGGTGATTAAAGAGCCAGCCCATGAGTTCATGTCAGAGACAGGGGAATCCTCTTGGACGCTGAGCTGCCATGGACTACTTCTATGCTGGGGTTCTACGTTATCTCCATGCATGGTCCTTATTTGGAGTATCAGTCTCAGAAAAGACCCCTATGCCCAGACTTTTTGGTTCTTAGTATATTATCAGGTATATATGACTTAAACAACTACCAACAGGCACAGAGCTGTATTCCTGTAGCACCTTAGCAGGAATGCAGAGAGTGTACAGCGATCTTCAGATACACTTCCCTGTGTTTTCCCTTAAACATTGATGAGTATTGGAGATTGTATTATAGTTTTCAATGGCCTTAAAACAATATTCTCTACGGATACAAACTCTTAATGCCCCTAGGAGACTAGGTGAATATGTGTACAGCTGTTTGGCTTTACAGGAGAAAATTACAGTGCTGAATTGGAACTCACAGTCTGGACTAAAGAGCTCAGCGTCTTCTTGCCTGACACCTGCTGCCAGAATGAACTAGAGCTTTGCCCATGTCTAGAGCTACCAATTCATTTAACTTTTTCAGATTCATTTACTTTACTGTAAGAGTGTTTTCCTAAATGTATGTATGTGCACTGCGTGTGTGCTCAGTGCCCAAGGAGGTTAGAGGAAAGCGATGGGTCCCCTGGAACTGGAGATGGTCATGACTTCATACAGAAGAGTTAAAACTGAAAGTCATCAAAGAAACATTCACAGTGTTGTTCCTCAGTGTTAATGTAGGCTTCTTTTTGCTAATTTAAATATTTAAACTCTGAAATTCTCCAAATCATAGCATAGTTACAACCCTGACATAGTACCAGAGTTGGAGATACCACACTTGTTCCTGCATGGCAGATTTGAATAGAAACAATGAATGCACACTAAAAATATTGTGTAATATTAACTTCAGGCTGCCTGTAATGAAGGTATAAAACACAAATGAGTCTAATGTTGAGAATTGGCTCTCATACCCAAGATCTGTTTATATATTTATAGATATATCCCTCTTTTTCTCTCTCTTTCCCTCTCTCTTCTCTTTCTCTCTCTCTCTCTATATATATGTGTGTGTGTGTGTGTGTGTGTGTGTGTGTGTGTGTGTATACATCTCATATATATTATGAGAGAGAATCACACACTTGCACACACATGCACCTGCACAAATATCCTCAATCTGAAAAAAACTCTCTGGCTCAGGTAGGGAGACTGAAGATTTTTATACTGCAAAGAAGATCAAGAAGAAGGGAAAACAGAACAGGAAGAAATAAGTAAGAGGTGAGGCTTAGGTGAGTCTGAGCGAGGTGTGCTTGGGGATCAGCTAAGAAGCCCATCTGGACAGTATGTTGATGAACAATGCAGGTAGGATCAACCACCAAGGCGAAGATAAAGAGATGTCACTTCATACAGGCCTCCGACCACTCTAACATGCCTGAATTTTATTCCAGATGTGTTGAGAAGGTATTGGAGAGTTTCGGACAAAGGCTTGTGTGGCGATCATTTCATTTTAAAATCACTTCAGGGCTGGAGAGTGGCTCTGGGAGTGGCGTTTGCCATGGAAACACAGACACCTGAGCTTAAAGCTCCAGAAACTAAGTAAGAAGCTGGATGTGGTCGTGCATGTCTCTAATTCTAGTACTGGACAGAACGGAGGCTCCCTGGGCCTCATTGGCCACTTCGTCTTACCGCTTGATGAGCTGCAGATTCAGCAAGAGAGCCTGTTTCAGAAAACAATGTAGAGAGCAATAGGCAGTGCTATCCAAGGTCAGTCTCTGACCTATACACATGCTTACAAACACACCTATACACAGACAGATAGACAGACAGACAGGTGCAGGCATGCATGCACACACCACACACATGCACAGGAACACACACACTAGGCAGTTCCATAGGGGATATAGAGTGGAATGTGTATGCAAAAGCAAAATCAGAACCCTCAGATAAACTTCGGGGCACGAAGTCCGGGTGTGCACTGCAGATGGCAAAGACAGGTGTGGGGCACGTTATGCCGATTTTGTTCAGGGTGTGTAAGAAGATCAAGGATAATCCAAGGCCTGAAGCTGTACTGAGCTGGAGTTACTAGTCAACTGTATCAAAGGGTGGAATCTACAGGGAAAATACAGTCGGAGAGAAAAGGGAGTAAATTCAAAAGTCACCAGTTCTGTGTTTGGGTATCAAGTTTGGTGACCCATGCGGAGATACAAGTTGGAATTTTCTACCCATTTTCTAAATAGAAAAAAAAAATCTAGATGGTTGTGTAAGTCAAGGTTGGGATAATGGTATTTAAGCTGTGAGCTAGAATGACTTTATATGGGAAGAGATGGCAACTGGAGGTAAAAAAAAAAAAAAGAGAGAGAGAGAAAACTCAGACTGGGGACTAAAGTCAGGTAAAAACAATATCAAATTTCCAGGAGCGATGAGGAAAGCCTAGAGAGCAGGTAGAAGAAACAGAAACCAGGCCCCAAGTGCAACCGAGACTACGGCAATGCGACAGTCACTGAGGGAAAAAGTGAGACCAAGAGGCTGTCTTTTCTCTTATGTTTTTAAAAGTGAACAGACGATAAAATTAACTTTTGTTTAATACTATCCGTGGACCCTTGTTTCTTCTGAACCTCGCATTTTTAATCTGTTAAGCAAACATCTTAATGCTACTTTTAAGTGTCTTCATGCGGTTTAGGAATAATTTCATTGATGAAATGTGCTCCTGATGGGCTGCCGCAATCTCAGGTGTATTTGTCCTGTTCTTTTTCATCTTCTTTCATAGGACTCAGACATTAAGACCATAAGGCAACAAGCCACTTTGGGTACCCTCTATGAGTACAGAGTACCCACACAAAGAGTGATAGAAAACAATGATGACGTAAACAGTAGTCAGAACACTGAAATTCCACTTTAATTAATTAATTAGTTAATTAATTTCTGTATTTATTTATTACAGTTTATTTACTTTGTATCGCAACTGTAGCCCCCTCCCTTGTCTCCTGCTAGTTCTACCCACCCTCACGCTTCTCCCCCTATGCCCTTTCGCTAGTCTCCTGATAGGGGAGGACCTCCTTCCCTTCCATCTGACCCTAGCCTATCAGGTCTCTTCAGGAGTGGCTGCATCATCTTCCTCTCTCTGTGGCCTGGAAAGGCTGTCCCCCTCCCCTCAGGGGGAGGTGATCAAAGAATCGGCCACTGAGTTCATATCAGAGACAGCCATGCTTTAAATGTGGATTAAAGTAGTCTGTTACCTCTTGTGTCTTCATTTAGAAAATCAGAGGCTGCAATGTCTGCGTGCTCAGGTCAGTCAACATTTACCTGCTGAACCTGATGCTCACCAATATACCCAAATTGCTAGGATATGCCAGGGATGGTGACATGTTTTTCAAAGTAATAGTATGCTAAAATGATAAGCACATTTTATGTGCATTAAAGCTGGTTAGCACTCTCACATGATGAGACTTACATACGGTCAACCAGTACATTGGTTAAATGTCCTTAGCCTCAAATTATTTTAACAGTATTTTCATGCACACACATACACTGAAAAGAACAGCTATCAGGTCTACATACACGCACGTACACACACACACACACAAACTTTGCATTCCTTTAAAAAGTGTCTTTTACTGTATTTAGTAACCACTAATGGACACATTATTGCCTTCCTTATCATCTTATTACCTTCCTTATCATTAATCTCATCACTTAGTATTTCAATACAGTATAGACATATATAATACTTGTGCCCTGATACGCCTTAGAATTTTACTTTCATGTGTGTGAAGTATCATTGTATTTCTAACAGTGTGCCAAGCTCTCTCAAAAAAGAAAGCATGTCCATTGTTAACATATATTCCATTTTCCCTATTGTTATGGTAATAATCCTCTCTTGCTTGTTTTGGAAAGGAATTGAATTAGAAATTGTCAATGTCTGTGAAAAGGACAATGGTGGTTGTTCTCATCACTGTGAGCCTGCGTTTGATGGCCCGCATTGTTCCTGTGACCATGGACACCAGCTTGATACGGATGAGAAAACATGCATAGGTAATGGCTGGCAAACGCCATCTTCCCTCAAAGTTCCTCTGGACTCCTTTAGCGCTTCGATGCTACTACTCATTGCTACAGTGTGAGTCACAACCCTCAACCTGAGAGGTGCATTTGACTGTGTCTCTGACTACTTGAACATGGCACGGATACCATTATACTTGGATATTTACGTTGAAATTAAGGAGATGGAAACACATTTAATGAGATTCATATGGGCCAATAACTCCATGTGAACAAAAACCATTGTTTCACTTCAGGAAAATATTCTAAGGTCTATCTAGACTACTAATTTGCATGCCAATAGTAGATACAGCTGTGGGTCCCAAGTCTTCTTTCCTAAAGCAGAAATGTAATCACATCCATTATTTTTCAGTTTGATAATGACTTGGATGAACGGTCAATTGTGTTTTGGCAGCTTTTACCAAAAGAAAAGCTTGAAATGTAATCATTCTCTGGACATCCAAGGTCCAACCCTTGCTATTTCTTTTTAAATTATGTGTATTTGCGTGTTTATGTGTGGGTATGTGTACCTGTCAGAGGATGTGGCCACCAAGTTTAGAAGAGAGGTCAGACTCCTTGGAACTAGTTTCCAGTGACTGGGAGATGCCTGATACGGGTTCCGCGAAAGAATGGCTCTGTTGCAAGAGCAATACATGTTCTTAACCACTTATCTATCTTTCCAGCCCCTAAATCCATTTTTAATGGCTGGCTTTGGTGATATATCACTAAAATTGGCACTGATAGTTTCATTCATTTATTATTTATAATTATTATCACTTATATCATTTGCAACAATGAGAATAATCCAAACTTAGCCTTCCCTCATTAAGAAAAAATAAGAATATAAATGCCGAATGGGGATCATGCAGTGTTTCTTTGGTAAGATGTGAGAGAGTCAGTATGAGGTCGTGCCGTTGTGCTCTGCTGCTGAAATACGCCAAGACCCCAAATAGTGATGTGTCTTCATCCTACCACAGAAATACTGTAATTACTTATTTTCTTTAATGAAGACATATGTTTTTTGTCCTTAAAGTGGTAATACAAGTGGTAAAAATAAATTCTCCTTTTTCACTGCACGCTATCCAACATGACAGTTTAAGGCCGTAAGAGAAAGGTGACTGAATCACCAGGTTCCATTATTTCGTTTTGTGCTTAGGCACTATGAAAAAAATGAATCTCATGGAATTTATAGTATTTTGTTCTCACAAAATTATTTAAACCTATACAATGTCATTGCATATGTTTCTTGGTCCAATAGTCCTTGTACACTGATATGAGTCTGGAGTGCCCAACATATCGGAACCGGTTACTTTCCTTGGGTCTCTTGCAATGAAAACTGTGCCACATAATCTGTCTCATTAATACTTAAATTTAAAAACTATGCTTTCCTCTCTTCCTCCTTCTCTTTTTCCTTCCTTTCTTCCTCCTTCTATCACTCCTTCCTTCCCTTTCTTTCTTCCTTTCTTCTTCCCTTTTCTCTCATTTTGTTTTTCATATGAATACTAAATAGAAAAAAACTGAAAAGGATTGTTTGTTTGTTTGTTTGAGAGAGGGTTTCTCTGTATAGCCCAGGCTATCCTACAACTCACTGAATAGGCCAAGCTGGCCTTGAACTTACTCATCTGCCTCTACCTCCCAAATGCTGGAATTAAAAATATGTGCAACCACCATCGGGCATTTTATATATTTTTTAATCTCAATATCTTAAGTCTTTGAAAAGTATAATTCAGGGAACTTTCCTTATTCGCAGCTAGAAAAAAACTACAGCATCTGCTAGGGTCAGAATGCAGAAAATTGCATATTTATGAGCTTTCCTAAGTCAACAAGGCAATGTTGCACCGCTTATGGTTCGTTTTGTTTCATTTTTTCCAACAATGAAAGTGCTTATTTCTGAAGACCAGATAGTCACTAGGGCCTAAGCAAAAGACTTACTTTGACCATGAGAAGGTCATCCTCCTTGTTGCCTGTTGCTTTGTAAAACCCACCATGAGTTCTATGATAATATAAGGCATTTTCTGAAGATGAGAATGTACAAAAAGATGAAGACAGTCCAGCTAGCACACCAGTGGTCAGCCTTGCCAAAGAGTGGAAGCCTCATCTTGCAGCCTAGAGATATACGTAAAATGTAATTAGGGTGACAGTTTTATAAGACATGATTGTCTGATCACTGAGAAATTCCAGATTAAACAAATGGCTAGTTGCTAGGGAGTATGTTTTAGATTAGGAGTTTTCTTCAGTGACTGGGTACAGAAAATGGTTTTTCTTTTTTATATTAATTACAATTTATTCACTTTTTATCCCAGCTGTAGCCCCTTCCCTCATCCCCTCCCAATCCCACCCTTCCGCCCTCATCTCCTCCCATGCCCCTCTCCAAGTCCACTGATAGGGGAGGTCCTCCTTCCCTTCCATAGAAGATGGTTTTTCAATCTGATGCTTTTCAGAGCTGAGTGGTTAAGGCATTCAGCTCAGTGCCATGACTGTTCTAGTTTTGGCTAGGGTTAGATTTTCCTGCTCAGATGAGAGGTGTAATACATCTTTGTAGATATGTTGTAAAAAGCCCTAAAGTATGATCAAAAGAGGAAAACGGACAAGCAACAATTTCACCAAAGATATGAAAGAAATAAAGAAATTTAGAAGTCAGGTGGTATAAAGGTTGAAGTGACAGTATTTTCTAGAAAGGACTTGCAATAAGGTCTCAGGCAGTACAGTCCTTGCGCTGTAAGTGTGAAAACCAGCATTCTGGTCCCCAGAGCCCAAGGAAAGAGCTAGGCCTGTGATCCCAGAACTCAGAGGTGGAGAGGAGAGGATACTTTTGGCTTGCTGGCTAGCTGATCTAGCAAATAAAAGACACCTTTTAAAACAAAGTAAAGAGGGCATGGATGAAGACCTATGACACACATGCACTCGCCCTACATGACATACATGTGCACCCACAACCACACACTACACGGATGCAAGCCCACACCATATACACAGGACTTAGACCAATGGAAGCAATATGTTTCTGTTGAGTTTTTAACTGAAGACAGTATGCAGGAGAAAGGTGAGATGTTGTAAATAAAAAATAAGTGTTGGACTATGTAATATTTATTATTAGCCCTAAGATTATCATGGCAGTATTATTTAACTTGCTATCACAAATAATAAGACACAGACAACTGTTAGATTTTTATAATTGCCTTATTTCTCTTGAGCCGGGTAGATATTTCATCTGCATTGGATCAATAGTCTCACCGTCCATCTCCCACCCACCCATTCAATGCCATCCACCTTAATCCTCCTTATCTGGTCTACCTTCCACCCATTATACCATAGTACTTGCTTGTATTCTTCATCTGGGCCTTTGCACGCCATTATTGGAGTCCTTCCTTTTGGCCCATGTGGTTCTTTTTTCTCCACACTAACCCATCACGACATCCTCCTTCCTCTTCTCCTCCTGTCTGGCTGTCTCCCATAATTCTCCTCTCCTCTCCAAGCCTGGGAAACTTAGTCAAGCCTACCCCAGTCTGCCCTGCCCAGGTATACGCCATTCAATTAGCCGATTAGGTAGGTTTACAAAACAAGGATAGGTGTATCCAGATCTTGAGAGCTAGTAACATGCATCAGACCAACTTCCAACAGTAAGATATCTTCCTGGAGTAATGGGAATGTCAAAATAATCCAAAATTCATACACAAAAGCAATCAGAACAAGGAACATATTTTCAGATTATGAGATGCAGCTGTGTTTCTTGCTAGTTGAAACCTGTATGTTGGTAATAAGAAATTTGGGGTTGTACTGTTTTAAATTTATCTATCTATCTATCTATCTATCTATCTATCTATCTATCTATCTATCTATTCTCTTTACACCCTGATTTCAACATCCTCTCCTCTCCTTCCAGTTCCCTCCCCATCACACACCTTCCTCTTCCCATTCTCCTCTCTGCTTCTCCTCAGTGAAGGGGGAGGACTCCATGTGTACCAACCTGCCCCGGCAGATTAAGTCGCTGAAGAACTAGGCATACCATCTCCCACTGACGCCAGGCAGGGCAACCCAGTTAGAAAAACAGGATCCAAAGGGAGGCATCAGAGTCAGAGAGGGCGTCTGCTCCAGTTGCAGGGGGACCAACATTAAGACCAACTGCACATCTGCTACGTATGTACAGGAGGCCCAGGACCAGTCCATGCATGCTCTTTGGTTGGTGGTTCAATATCTGTGAGCCACCATGATCCCAGGTTAGTTGCCTTTGTAGGTCTTGTAGAGTCTTTGACCTCTTGGGCTCCCTCAGTCATTTCCGTAGCTCTTCCATAGGACTCCCCAATCTTTGTGTAATGTTTGGCTGTGTGTCTCTGCATCTGTTTCCATCAGCTACTGGGTGAAGTCTCTCAGAGGAACTATGCTAGGCTCCTATCTGCAAGTACAGCAGAGTAACATTAATAGTGTCAGGGATTGGTTCTCTCAAGTAGAGCCAGCCTTTGGTTGGCCATTCCCTCAATCTTTGCTCCATCTTTGTCCCTGAACATCTTCTAGGCAGGACAAATTTCAGGTAGAAGGTTTTGTGGGGGATTTGGTGTCCTTATCCCTGAATTGGAAGTTCTGCCTGGCTATAGGAAGTGGCCACTTCAAAGTTTGTATCCCCTGCTGCTGAGAGTCTCAGCTAGGGTGATCCCCATTGACTTCCTGGAGCTCCCCTATCCCAGGTCTCTGGCAAATCCCAAAGATGGTCCCCAGGTCTGATTTCCTTTCTTTCACCAGGCCCTTCCTCCCCTACTCTTCCTACTCCTAATCCCTCCCCCTGCCTCTGCTTCCCTCCCCATCTCCACTTTTACCCAGTTTCCTCTCTCCATCCACCTTCAATGCCTATTTTATTTCCCTCTTAGTGAAACTCAAGCATCTTCCATTAGGCCCTCCTTGACTTTTTTGGGTCTGCGGATTGTATCATAGTTATCCTATACTTCATGGTTAATATCCACTTATAAGTGAGTACATAGCATGCATGTCTTTTGGGGGTTGAGTTACCTCACTCAGGAATGATTTTTTTCTAGCTCCATTCATTTTTTTTTCTGCAAATTTCAAGATTTAAATCAAAAAGGAAAGAAAATACCTGAAAATTTAAAACAAATCACGAAGACTAATGTTTTAAATGAAATAAACTGGTTTGTCTTTTTTTTAATCTTCTGTGTTTGTTTTGTTTAATCTGAAGATCAGAAAAAGGCTTAATATGACAAAAACTAATATCTGAAATGTTCTGAGTAGAGCTCCTTGTGACATTTTGCAGGAGAAAGAATGCATTGTACCCAGATGACCTTCATTTAGATAGTTTATGGTGACCCCCTCACCTTGGCTGACTGATTGCATTTCCTTTCCTTCCTGTCTCTTGTCTTCATTTCCTTGAGTCTATGGACTCTCCCAAGGTTAATTGAGACATTGGCCTCTTGGTATGTGTGCTTGCACACATAGTCTAGGGGCAATAGGATTCTGTGAGCTCAGCAGTGACAGCCACTCAACCTAACAGCTCCACACACAGAGGCTTGAATTGAGCCAGGAGCAGAAAGCTAACACCTTCCCTGTGTAATCCCTAGCTGCCCAGAGCAGAGGAAAACATAGTGAGTGCCTATTGTGGCTCTTTCACTGTTATGCTTAGAATGACCCTTCAAAACTTGGGCCAAGTAGGTTGCTGTCTGGCTGGCTGGTTTGGATTTTTTATTTTCTTCTGGCCAGCTGTGTCTGAAGAACAAGCGTTCCTGATTGTAGAATTCTAGGGTGATAGCGCTCCATAAATAACTGCTCACCTGACAGAACATGACAGGGTAATGATTTCACAGCTGTAACAGAACCCCACAGATCTCACGCATCCCACTCAAGGCATCATTGACATGTTCAAGAAAATACTCTAGCATACTCCAGAATTTGATGCAGAATGTGTGAAGGAAGCGTGTCTCCTTTCTTCTCATAAACCTACTGTTCCCACCACTCTCCCTCGTTGAGTGTGAGAGGAATGTTTACTTGGGAACACTTTTTGATCTCAGTACTTGAAGAAGCACATTATGAACTCCGGGGCTGTTCTCTTTCTGCAGCTGTCAAATGTTACTAAATGGAATTCTTCGGCTCTTCATTCTCAATTCTGCCTTTTTGTTCTTCAACTTCTGTTTATTCAGCCAGATTGTTGCTTTTTAAACTGGAGAAATAGCAGAGATCTCTTTTCCTATGCTTATGAATGCATTCGAAGATTACTTACATTCTTTCAAAATAAATAACAGACATGCAAAGAGCCTGCAAGAAATGTAAACCAAAAGTAGGTGACATTATTTTTGTGTGATCGTTTCTTCAGCGTCTGTACTGTGACCTGAGTAGTAGGAAGCAGTTAATCGAACAGTTTTAATTTAGAAGTGGGGCTTCTCAGAGCCTCTGCAGTTTTGTTGAATTCTGTTTCCTGCAGTAACACAAATGTCCTTTGCCCTTAGACTTTGATGAATGTGCGAGTGGAGAAGCCTGCTGTGCCCAGCTCTGCATCAACTATTTAGGAGGCTACGAATGCAGCTGTCAGGAAGGCTTTCAGATCAGTTCCGATGGTTGTGGATGTGATGGTAAATTCCTGAGATCTCATGAAATGATGTACAAACAGTGGGGCAGGAGCTCCGAAATGGTGTGTTTCATACTAAAATAAAATGTGGATTTCTGTGTGTTTTTACTATGTGATCTGGACTTTGGTGGTTCTAATTTTGAAGAACCTGAGATCTTCATCAGTGAAATGAAGACAACAATAGGATTAGGAAGCAAATTAAAGGAAGTTAATAATAAAGTACTAGCATAGTGCTTGACCTAGATAACCACTCCAGTAAAGGCAGCTGTGGTTAGTGTGATGTTCATTGGTCCACAATGCTTTTCACATGTCTGTACACAGAGGAGAGATTGGGAGTGGGTAGCACATTGCTAATGGGATCATCTTCAGCATACCAGACCATAACTACAGAGCCGGTTGCTGAAAGCCATTTTTAAGAGAAAGCAAAATGAGAATTCTCTTGTCATAAATGAAAACAGACATCAGAATTCTTCACATAGCTCATGTCAACAAAAGGCCTCCTTAAAGCTGTGTCATCTCACAAATTTCTAAACTGTTTCAATTTGTACACTCCTAGGTGCTTTCTAGACTAGGTTACATTGGTTTTTGTTTTGTTTTGTTTTTAAAGATTTATTCATTATGTATACAGTGTTCTGCCTGCATGTATGGCCGCAGGCCAGAAGAGGGCACCAGATCTCGTTATAGATGGTTGTGAGCCTCCATGTGGTTAACGGGAATTGAACTCAGGATCTCTAGAAGAGCAGCCAGTGCTCTTAACCTCTGAGCCATCTCTCTAGCCCCTGGTTACATTGTTTGTAATTCAGGGGAGTCTTAAAATAGTTAGTATAACTATTTAGTAGTATCCCAGCACCCACATAAAAAGCCGAAGTAAAGACTTATCCCTGAGATTTGGTAACAAACTCACCAAGCTTGATGGATGGGGTTCAGAAAAGCCTTTATCTCAAGCAATAAGGTGGCCAGTGACCACAGAAGATATTGATGCTGACTCTCTCAGTCTTTCACACAACATATACCACACAGACACAGACACACACAGAGAGAGAGAGAGAGAGAGAGAGAGAGAGAGAGAGAGAAAGGGAGGTTCCTTTAAAGTCCTTATGTCATCCTGTGATTTCCTTCAAAAAGTCACATTAGAGTGCAGTGCTCAGTCTCCCAAGTGTTTGTGTGCTATCTATACATAGTAATTTCTATTGCTATTGGTTTCTAGTTTTAGTTCAGTTATTTTGTGTTAAGAATTTCTTTGTGGCATAAAATGTGATTTATTTTGGAGAAGTTTTTTGGGCTACTCAGAATGTTTATTCCACACCTGCTGAATAGAACATTCTGTAGATATTTGTTAAGTCCATTAGATCCATGTTATAGTTTAATTTTGAAGTTTCTTTGGTCATCTTTAGTTTGGATAACCTACCTAAAGGTATGATTAGGATACTAAAGTTAACTCATATCACTGTATCAGGACTTATATAATTTTAAAATTCCCATTAGTGCTTGTTTTATGACATGGAAACCTGTAATGCTTGGGGTATATACATATATATAATTGTTATATTTTCTTGGTGAGTTTTTCTTTGTATTGATATTTAGTCACCTTCTTTATCTCTTTGGACCTAAATTGTTTTGAAGCCTATTTCATCAGCTCTCAGAATTACTATACTAACTTGCATTTTGGTTTTCATTTACTTCATAACTTGAATTCTATCCTTTGGTTTCCATTGTTTCCCAGCCTGTGAGTATCTATGCCAGTGAGATGTTGTGTGACAAAACTTTTCCTAGGGATACACAGCATACATGTCTTCTCAACCCAGCTAGGGAGCCCATGAAGGACCAAAGTTGATGAACCATGAGTTTTATTGGGGTTACGTACAATTATATGGGTAGAAGGTTATTTACAGTAACAGAGATTACTCAAACATAGCTGCATCACTAAAGCCCACTCCAACATAAGCTCATAAAAGCTTAGCAGCCTGGAGCACACTGCACAGTTTGCAGGCATCTCAACAGGTTGGTGAGGGTCCTTTCCCAGTGACTCTGGTCTAAACCTCTTCTAAGCAACTAGTCTCATTTCAGAGGCTTCTTTGTAGCTCAGCTTCACTCCTCAGAAAGTGAAGCTTACTCTGGCATGCAGGGGCCTAGTGAATCTTGTCAGTTTCAGGGACTTACTAATATTTTTGAGTTGTTCACCTTTCTGCTTAAGAAACTTCCCCTGAAGAATGGAATGTTTCAGTCTTAGAGGAAACTGTTGTTTTCAGAGGAAACAGATGGTTTGAACTTAATACAATCAATCATCCTGCAATGTTTTCTGTTTTAGTTGAAGCCGTTTATATCTAAGTTTATTATGAGGGATACTGCCAATTAGTGTTTTTAGTTGCGGTTGTTGTTGTTAGTTGGATTATTGTTTGCTCTTTTTCTCTCTTTTATTACCATAGAGGTTTTATAGTTAGTTTGTTGAACACGATGGGTTCTTTCTTAGCTATATTTGGTCATCTACTCCTCTCAGGAAATTTAATAATTCTTTTGCTTTCTTAATTGAAAGTATCTTTCTTCAACAACCATATAAACATCTGGAATCTGGAAACTGAGTAATGTGTATTTTGAGTGTGTGTGTGTTTGTGTGTGTACAAGTATGTGGGTGCAGTCAGTCATTTGGATACATGTGGAGGACAAAGGTTGATGGTAGTGTCTCTCAAGTGCCTCTCCAACGTATTTTTGAGACAGGGTTTATCTCTGGACCTGGAGCTTATCATTTCTCCTGGTCAGGTTGGCAGCTGAGATAAAGTGGCAACTCCAGGATGCAGCTCTCTGAAGAAAGGGGAGAAAAAGCTCTCCAACACATACTGTGAAAATTGGATATTCATCTATAAAATAAAGAAAGTAAATCCATATCTCTTTCTCTGTACAAAAATCAATTCAAAATGGACCACAGATGTTAATGAGACACTGAAACTGCTAACCAAAACTATAGATAAAACATTTTGAGACAGAGCCATAAGAAAGAACTTTTTTCAGTGGACTCAGTAACAAGGGGGAAATCCCAATAATTCACAAATTACATTAGAAGGAATTAAAAATGCATCTTCACAGCAAAGGAAACAATCACTAGAATGAAGAGACAGTCTAAAGAGCAGAAAAATGTTTTTGCCATCCCACATTACAGAATGGATTAATAGATAGAGTGTATAATAGCTGCAAAACATAAAAACAAACAAAAAAACAATATATTCATTGATAAATACCTTAATGAACTTAATAGTTGTTAGCTCTCAAAAGAACATATACAAATAGCCTAAACATTTGTAAAAGTGTTCAATATGCTTAGCTAATAGAGAAACACATTAAAACTTCTTTGGACTTCCATCTCATCTAAGTCATGTCGGTGTCATTAAAAATAGTGGTGAGGACACGAGGAAAGAGGATAGCCCAGGCCCTGCTCATGAGAAGGTAAACTTGCATAGCCTTCTAGAAGTCATGGAGGAGGATTCTCAAAACTCTGGATTTAGAACAACAATGTAACAGAGACCCACCCACTCCCTATAAACTGGAAGGATGACATAACATGTCACATGACACTTCAGATCCTTATTCATTGCTGCACTACTCACAAGAAGCGAAGTACAGCATCAGCCTACGTGTCTGTCAGCAGAAGAATGGATAAAAAAATGTGGTACATGTATACAACAGAATTATATCCATCTCTAAAGAAAGATGAAACTAGGCCATTTTGAGGAAAAAAAAATGTATAGAACTACGGATCATTTATATTAAATGAAATAAACCAGATCCAGAAAAAAAAAAGAGACAGTTGCCACATTTATTTTTCATGTGAATAATCAAAATTTAAATCTATTTGTGCCTTGAAAGCAGAAAAGAGATAGCAAGGGGGAAGGGAGAGACAGTAAGTGAGAGAGGCCAGAGAGTGAGATGGAATACAAGTGACATAAAAGTAGAAGGGCAGACCCTAGAGCAGTAGGTATTAAAAGTGGGGCCAAAGGGGGTAGGACAGGGCAATAGGGGAAGGTAAGAGTGAGAGTAAGATAGAATGGCATACATGTGTAAACATACCACAGTAATATCAATTGATTTCTATGCTAACTTAAAAATTATTGAAAGCAAAAACATACCTTAAACATATAATTTATTTTTCATTTTGCAGTTACTATCATTATTAAGAGCATTTTCTTGAAATCTGTACAAAGTTCATAATGTTACTATCTCCTCCAGTAGCAAGTCAAATATAGGGCATTAATATCACAGAAAAGGTGGATTTTCATTGCTTGAAGAACCAAATGCTGCCTTCTGATGGTAGCCAGGTTTTTAACTACTAGGAGCCAGCCCTTCAGTATGTACCAAAGAAAAACACAGTGTGCTGTCTATATATACTAAACCCAGCGGAGTATATTACCATCTACCATTTCCATCCAATTAACAGAGCCAACAAAAGCTGCATTTTATGCACCATCTGTTCCTAAGCAGAGTGAGCCAAGACGTGATTGCATGGCTCAAGTGCTCACACATGCACACATCCACATGTGTGCTAAGGTGTGGACAGTTGCAGAGAAACTGAAGTGTGGCTTCACCTCGGAAACACGTTCGTCTAACATTCTGAGGGACTCTATTTGAGTCCTAGATCAAGTCATAAATCGGATAGGTACGTGAGAACAGACTAGTTAGTATTCTATCTCAAAGGTTCTCTGTAGACCCTGCATGGAATTATGAAAAAAAAAAAATAAGTGTTCAGTCACATGCTTGAGTTGAGAAGTTAGTATAGTTCTGCAGTATAAGGCACAGTTTGGAACCATTGAATTTAAGTTTTATGTTCTTCATTCAAGTGACACAAAGGAGGCGCCAGAAGTTTCAGGTTTATGTGGCCAGTCTTTGGTAAACTTGCAAAAGAATGAAAGAAAGTCACTGGGTAGGTGTACTGGATGATTGGGGGCTGTGCTTGCTTTGTGTGTGGCATGGTGATACCCCAGTTAATGGAGGTCACATAGTGCCACAAAAACCAGAGGCTGTTTAACTCTACTCTCCCTCGATGTGGATGAGTGCTTGGATGTCAGTGTGGACTGTGGGAGCTGTGTGTCAACTCCATGGGGACATATGACTGCTCCTGTGGGGAAGGGTACAGAATCAGAGTCAGAAGAACATGTCTCTGCTAGTACCCAAGGAACTGTGCTGAGTCTTTCATAAGTTCCTTCCACCTACTGCTCTTCAGTGTGCTGGAGAAGGAAGCTTCACACTCCTCCCTGCCTCCCTCTTTCAGGTCTCTCTTTCACTCTGTGCCTCCCTCTCTCTCTCTCTCTCTTACTGTTCACTTGCTCACTCCCCCCCTTCCTTCTACCTTTCTCTCCTTCTCTTTCCCTTTCTCCCTTCTTCCCTCCTTTCTTCTCTTTCAGTCTCCTTCCTTCCTTCTTTCCTTCTCTTCTTCATTCCTTTTTTCCCCTCTCTCTCCTTCCTTCCTTTTTCTTCCTTCTCTTTCCTTCATAACATTCTTCTTTTTCCCTCTCTTTCATTCCTTTTCTACTTTCTAACTGCCTCTACCCTCTTTTTTATTCCTCCCTTCTTTTTAGTCTTATTTTATTTCCCTTGTATTCTCTCTACTGTAATTAAATCCCATGCCAGCAGCAACTGACTGCTGGTACAATGAGCCTTTGAAGAACCTCCTCAAAGCTTTTTTCCATCAGTCATCCCTTTATGGCTGTCTAGTTCAGACTCTCACTGTCTGTCAATGCTTGGTTGCTTTTTCTTCTTTCTACATACATTGTTGAAACCCAGTTTTTTTTCCCCCTTTCTGGCCTTAACTTTAGATTATGAGCAGTTCGAGGAGGAAGAAGAGGAACCAGATATTGTGAGGTTTCCAGGCCTTCTGGTTCAGAGCCCACCTCAACCATTCCCTTATCTTACTCCTTCTCTGGCTGCTTCATACGAAGATGAAGAAAATGATGATGATGAAGAGCAGGAAGCGGAAGGAGAGTTCCAAGGCCTGACAGCCTTGCACAGAGTCGGTGAGTAAAGGATTTCCTTTTGTTCTCTCATCACTGATCATTAGATAACTCAGGTTTGCTCTGCAAATAATTTCATTATCAATAGTTGGTGTCATCAAATGTTAGAATAAGAGATTTAGTGGGGGGGGGGAAGGATCAAAGCCTTTACTTTTGCGGAGTTTCTTATTAAATTTGTCGCCTCTTGACGTCCCCTTTTTATATAATAAAGACACAATGTGAAGGTATTGTGTAAATGGGAGTATCGGGTAAAGGGATGTGTTGTTGGTTCAGTGAGCAAAGGCCCTGCTATGAAGCCTGACGTATTGAGTTCAAATCTAGGAACTGCACAGTGGAACAAGGTAAGTCACTGCCAACAGCTGTCCCCTGACCTTGCCACATGTGCCATGGCATGTGAACCCATGCGCCTCACCTACACGTGCACCGAATATACCAATGCACCTAAATCAATCGACAAATAAAATGGAATCTACCAGGAGTGTATTTGTGTTATAGTTAATTTATAAGAATGTCAATAAAATGCATCCGAATGAAGGTAGAAACATTTACATGGGTCATTATTAAATTTCCGTTGCCTTGGCTATTTAAAATTAGAACAAGTGTAGTTGAGAGCAGCAAAAACTGACTGCAATCACTTGATGAAGGTTTGGAAGGATAGGAACTCAGCTACCTCCCTGCTGTTTACCCTTTAATCGTGGGCCAGTTTATGAGATGTGCCTTGAAGTCCTACAGACAGCTGGTTAGAAATCAAGGCGGGGCAGGGCTCAGGAGCACAACTGTGATGAACATGCTCAAGGCAGACATCAGCACCACACAGAGTACCGAAGCCCCAGAAATCAGCATGCATAGAGTACCAATGAGCACACAACATGAGCTCAGTTGGAAACAACTAAGCAAAACGTGTTCTCTGTGTTCACTCAGATTAGGATGATCTCCATCGAGAAGACAATGAAAAGGCGGTTATATTGCACTTCCATGAGGAGTAGAATACTATACAGACGTGGAAGAAATTTGTGCAGAGTGTGGAGGAATGTTAAAAATGTACTGACAAAAGAAGCTTGATTGCCAAAGTGCTTACTCTACAATTCTACTTATGAAACGTTCAGGGGGAAAAAAAATGTGTGGCACCAGAAATTATGATAGAATTTTATTTATGAGACAAGTAGCATTGACATTTTAGGTGACAGGTAATGTGCTATATCCTGATATGAGTTTGTGGGCCGCTGAAGGGGATATTTGAGGTATGTGCATCATTATACATGATTATTAAATTTCAAATAAAAATTCACTTTAAAACATACATATAGAAAAGCATATCTAGAGAGGAAAGCATTAACAAGCATGAACTATCTGTCCCTCCAGTGTTCTAGAATCAGTCATAGGCCAGACTTATTTTTCTTTTACAACCCTTTAAAGACAGAACAATAATCTAGTATCATAACTGGCCGAAGTAAAATCTGTTCTATGTTAAGAGGTATCTTTTTGCTAATATCCTTTTCTAGATTTGTGTGTGTGTGTGTGTGTGTGTGTGTGTGTGTGTGTGTGTGTGAAAGATACCTGACCTGATTTTCTTTGGGATTAAGAATTTTGTTTTATTTTTGATTACACGTGTACCTAGGAGCTAACTAAGCTGTTTTCTCATGACAGTCTGTTTAGATGGCACCTTTGGTCTGGACTGCAGCTTGAGCTGTGAGGATTGCATGAATGGAGGTAGATGTGAAGAAGGACAGAGTGGCTGCTCCTGTCCAGCAGGCTGGACTGGCATTCTTTGCAATGAAAGCAGCACCCTAGGAACTGGTACAGAATGGCAAGCTCCTGTGGGTGAGTTCTTCTCAACAGAAGCACCCTGAAATGTGCTGATTAACCATCCAGTGGAAGATAATAATGTGTTTATTGCATATAAAGAAGCCTGATGAGTGCTGGAGTTTGTAAACTGAATATACAACACTAACGGGAGATTTTGTATTCTCAGGGGAAGGCAATGTTCCAATCCTGATAACACATAAAATATAGAAATTAATAAAGGATCCTAATAAGGTCAGTCTTATAAAAAAAATCAAAGAAGAAAAACATGCACCCAAATAAATCATCAGTGCCCGCCAGCTATTTCCAATGGAAATGCCAGGGAACGTTTGTGTTGCAAAGTACAGTGAATTTGAATAAAATTTTAAAATTTGAAATCATTTAACTGAGCTTGCTTCTGTTGTTTACCTCTCTTCCCCCTTTAAAAATTACATTAACATAGCCAATGGTGATGATTTCATCTTTTTATATAAGTCTCTCAGGAGAAACTATCAAAAATTTAAATATGATGCCATCCAAATATTTCATTTGTGTTTTAAATGAAGTCAGCTTTTAAGAGTTGAAACTTCCACGTGATAAAATAAAATACATCAAGTTTTTTTCTCTCTCTCTCTTTTTAACTTATTCTTGTGCTTATAAATATGTGTCTTCATGATTGTCTGGAAGATGGTCTGAACATTTTTTCTTTTAGCACCCTGCATACAAAAAAAAAAAAAAAAAAAAAAGAGCAGAAATATGTTCTTCTACATGGCCAAGGCAGAGGACCCAAGTTGACGTGGTGACGTCTTTGGCCAGCATGACTCCTTTGGGTCTTTAGGTTGTTCACCAATAGTCACTGTGATCATGTTCTGTGCTGCTCTCGACCTTTTAAGCAACCCACTTTCTGTACATAAGATGTATACGTAGTCACTGGGTACGTTCTAGAATCAGGACTCACAATCCCTCCTTTTTTATCTGTAGCATAGCCGTTGCCAAATTGACTATTTCTAGGAAATCAAACCATTGGCTGCCTCATATTCTTCACTTTTTATTTCAATGGCTTGTATGCCAACAGGACCTCTGGAGATCCATTATTACCTGTCATGTGGAGCTTTCCATAAGTCCACAGTCCTCTGAAAGCATTGTTTTTTTTAGGAGGTGTAAAGAACTCACCATATTTTGTTGATATATACACTTTCTCAGAGAGTGCTCTCTTTGATCAGGTCCAATTCATTCTTATTTCTCTATATTGGAATGTCTACCACATCAGTATGGAGAGAACAAATCTTGGTGGGAACCATCAGTTATATTGACCCCTGATCTCCCAAAATTCATAGTATAAAATGTATATAATGTCATCATATGATTATTACAATATAAAAGTTTGCTTTACCATGCAAGTCTATTGACATACATGTGTGGCCTGAACACATGGTTCCTGACATGGTAGCATGAGAAATAAAACTAGTCAATATAATCTGAACTACCAGAAGGAAGCATCACTGATACAAATCTCATGCTGAGAGTTTAAGTGAGCCAGGTGATTAGAGGACAAGACCATGTTGTCAGCCTTAGAAAACCTTACAGATGTCCTGAGGGTCTCTTAGTAGCCTCTCTGGAAGAGTCTGTTTCAGAAAGCAGAGGCTAAGAATGAAGACAGAACAATTCAAATCAACTCACAGGTTTCAACTCATTTTTCAATAAAAGAGAGCAGGGATATTTTTAAATTCTTATAATTATATACTTTAAAAATGATTGGTGTTTTAAAATGCAACCAAGCTTTCTCAGACAATTAGGAATAGTGCTTCCTCAAGATCCAGTGTAACACTCATAGGCACATATCCAAAATATGCTCAAGTGCAAAAGGACATTTGCTCAACCATGTTTGTAGCAACTTTATTTGTAATAGCCAGAAGCTGGAAACAACCCAGACGTCCCTCAATGGAGGAATGGATACAAAAGTGTGGTACATTTGCACAATGGAATACTACTCAGCAATTAAAAACAAGGAAATCATGAAATCTGCAGGCAAATGGTGGGAACTGGAAAAGATCATCCTGAGTGAGGTATCCCAGAAGCACAAAGACACACATGGTATATATTCACTTGTAAGTGGATGTTAGACATATAATATGGGATAAACATACTAAAATCTGTATACCTAAAGAAGCTAAGCAAGAAGGAGGACCCTGGAGAAGATGATCAATCTTCACTCAGAAAGGCAAATGAGATGGACATTGGAAGAAGGAGAAAACAGGGAACAGGACAAGAGCCTACCACAGAGGCCTCTGAAAGACTCTACCCAGAAGGGTATTAAAGCAGATGCTGAGACTCATAGCCAAACTTTGGGCAGAGTGCAGGGAATCTTATGAAAGAAGAGTGAGATAGAAAGATCTGGAGGGAACAGCATCTCCACAACGAAAGCAACAGAATCAAAAAATCTGGGCCCAGGGGTCTTTTCTGAGACTGATAGTCCAACCAAGGACCGTTTATGGAAACAATCAAGAATCCCTGCGCTGATGTAGCCCATGACAGCTCAGTCTCCAAGTGGGTTTCCCATTAAGGGGAACAGCGGCTGTCTCTGACATAAAATCAGTGGCTGACTCTTTGATCACCTCCCCCTGCATGGGGAACAGCCTTACCAGTCCACAGAGGAAGACAATGAATGCAGCCAGTCCTGAAGAGACCTGATATAGGCTAGGGTCAATGGGAAGGGGAGGAGGACCTCCCCTATCAGTGAACTTGGGGAGGAGCAGGGGAGGAGATAAGAGAGGGAGGGTGAGATTGGGGGGGGTATGAGGGAGGGGCTACAGTTGGGATACAAAGTGAATAAACTAATTTATAAAAAATTAATTAATTAAAAAAGAAAATTCAACCAAGAAAATTTAAAGTAAATTGGGTAGGAATATGAAAAGTGGGGCTTGCTACTGAAGTCCCCAAAGACTATTCCAGTATCTTTACTGATCCACTACAAAAACATCTACTTAGACTTCTAGAATTGTTCAATAAATATTAAGGAAATGATTTAAGTATCACTGGGCATTATTTAATTGTGATATCAGTGTTTATTTTAGAACCACGTATCTTTTGAAGAAATTCCATGCTAAAATCACTGAACATGGGTTGGTTATCTCTATAGAGGAACGAGAAGGGGGACTCCCACAGTCATGGATTACTCCATGGACAGAAAAGCTTGTAATATTTTCCAAATCCTCTAGCTCCCTGTTAGGACATGTTTCTGTTAGCAATTTCTTTCCTAAGATCTTTCTTCTATATGCTAATGACATATCTTAGAAATTCTTGTATCATACTACACTACACTTTGTGGAATGGAACCAGAGAATCCCATCCATCTACTCTGTAGATAATATGCCATAACTCCTATACTATAGAAGCCACTTTGAATTCTTTTTTTAAACAGTATATTTTAAATTACTTTTAAATTTTTTTATAATTTATTCACTTTACATCCCAATTGCAGTTTCCTCCCTCATCTCCTCCCAGTTGGTCCCACTCTATCTCCGTCTTCCCCTCTCCCTCCATTCCACCCTACCCTAGTACACATAAAGGGGAGACCTTTTGCTCCTTTCTTCCCCTCTTACTCATCCTTTTATAGTAGCCTATGCCTTGAAAATAAGAAAAAATAAATAAAAAAACAAAAAACGGATAAGCCAAGTTGGTATAGTGCTTAGCTAGCACTCTAAAGGCTGAGAATTCAAATACTAACATTGCATAAACCAAGCAGGTTGAAACATACCAGTAATCACGGCACTGAAGAGGTAGAGGAAGGAGGATTAGAAGTTTAAAGTCATTATGAGTTTAAGGTCAATACTGAGTATATTAGACCTTCTCTGGAAAAAAACAAAGAAAGAAGGAATGAATAGGAGGGGAAAGAAAAATATAAATAAAGACATTGAGAAAATAAAAGATGAATATGAAGTTAAGTGTCATACACTAGGAGACATCATATGGTGATTTGAATAAAAATACCCTCTATAGGTCCATAGCTGGTCCATAGAGTGGCACTATTAGGCAGGGTGGCCTTGTTAGAGTAGCTGTGGCTTCGCTGGAGGAAGGGTGTCACTAAGAAGTGGGCTCAAGCTTGACTAGTGGCTCACAGTGCACTTCTCCTGCCTGCGGATCAAGATTTAGAGCTCTCAGCTCCCTCTCCAGCACCATGTCTGTCTGCACGCTGCCATGCTTCTCACCGTGATGATAAGGGACTAAACCTCTGAGACTGTAAGCGAGCCCCAATTAAATATTTTCCTTTGTAAGAGTTGCCATGGTCATGGTGTCTTTTAACAGCAATGGAAACCCTCTAAGACACATCATACATGCATATGGTAAAATATCAACTAAAACAATTAGTAAAATTATCTCACATTATATGTATTCACATTAAAGAAAGTCACAACACCTTCAGTGTACACTTCTGAATGCCTGGTACTTCTAAAAGAACCAACAAACCAGAGAAAATTGTCATTTGCTTAATTTCATCCAATTCAGAGAATGCAAAATACATTGAGAGCACCCAAGAGAACCTTAGCTGCATTAATTGTTGGTTTTAAAACATGACATTTTTAAATATTTTATCTATAACACTTTGTATCCCAGCTGAAGCCCCTTCCTGCATCCCCTCCCAATCCAGCCCTCCCTCTCTCCCTCTTCTCCTCCCATGTGCCTCCCCTAGTCCACTGATAGGGGAGGGCTTCCTCAACTTCCATCTGATCCTAGCCTATCAGTCTCATCAGGACTATCTGCATTGTCTTCCTCTGTGACCTGGTAAGGCCCCTCCCTACTCAGGTGGAGGTGATCAAAGAGCCAGCCACTGAGTTCATGTCAAAGACAGCCCCTGTTCACTTTACTAGGGAACCCATGACTTTTTTTTTCTGCATTTTTTCCCATTTTTTCAGAGTAAAAGAAGCAGTTTGTTTCTCATTAAGAGTGCTTAGCTTTCTGCTCCTGGGATACCTCACTTAGAATGATCTTTTCTAGATCCTATCATTTGCCTGCAAATTCCATGATTTCCTTGTTTTTAA